GGAAGAAAACATCACATTTATCTCAAATACAAAAGAAGAGAAGTAATAACTATCACAGGGTAATATAATGGAAAATACTATATCATATATTGTACTGCACACAACAGAGTATCAACAAAACTGCAACGGGTTTTCTAAAATAAACTGATGAAAGTGATAGTGATGCAATTTGCCAAGCAAAAAAAGAGAGGATTCAAGAAAAGCTAATGCCCGTGAAATCTCTCCAAACCCTGATGATATTAAAAGGATGTTAGAAATTATTTTTCTAAAAAACAGAATTTTGAATAACATTTCTAGAAAATACAACTTAACTAAGAAGAGAAGAGCAAGAAAAAGACACTCTAAGTAATTATATAACTATTTAAGTAATGCAATGGATGACAAAAAATCTTTTGTGATTAGCATTCTTATAGAAGTGTGATTTCTTACTATGATATGAAAATATCTAGCAAACACAACAAATATCACACTTAATAGCAGTGGTTCCCTTTGAGATAAAGGCAAGGACACCCAGTATCACCACTTCTATTAAGTGTTATATTAGTGGCCTTGGTAAATGCACGAATGCAAAATATATATATGCATATACACATACTCATGTGCAAACATATATATACATGAATTCATGCATACATGTATGCAGGCCTTTAAATTAAATTAATGGATTTGAATGGACCATATAAAACTATTATCATTGCATATAATGTGTGAGTGTAGATAGTAAATTGAAAGGGATGTACCAGATGATTAATTTTAATATGTAATTTTTATTGAGGTTCCTTACTAAATGGTCAATAGAAAATAAAATGTATTTCTATATACAAGTAATTTAAAAATACCATGTCTGATGACATAAAAAGATCAAATAAGAATACATCTACTGAAAGATGTAAAGGTATGTGTAGAAAATTCTACATTATTGAGATAAATTAAATAATACCTTAGAGTGAAAGGCAACACAGAATGAGAGGAAATATTTGCAGATCACATATCTAATAAAATATTGAGATCGCTTAGAACTCAACAATAAAAAGACAGCCCAATTAAAAAGTGAGAAAAGAGCCTGGGTGCATTGACTCACACCTGTAATCCCAGCACTTTGGGAGGCCAAGGAGGGGGTAGATCACATTAGGTCAGGAGCTCGAGACCAGCCTGGCAAAAATGGTGAAACCCTGTCTCTACTAAAAATACAAAAATTAGCCAGCCATGGTGGCATGTGCCTGTATTTTCAGCAGGAGGATGGGGCAGGAGAATTGCTTGAACTCAGGAGGCAGAGGTTGCAGTGAGCCAAGATTGCGCCATTGCACTCCAATCTGGGTGACAGAGGGAGACTCCATCTTGATAGAAAAAAAAAAAACAAGTGAGCAAAGAATTTTAATACATATTTTTCCAAAGAAGATAAACAAATGTCCTGTAACCCCATGAAAAATGTATTCAGCATTATTAATCATTAGGAAAACAAATATCAAAACTACAGTGAGATCCATCACACTCTACTATATAGCTATGATTTTGTAATAGAAAATAAGTATTGGCAAGGATATGGAGAAATTGTAAACCCATTGCTAGTGGGAATGTAAAATGGTGGAGTTGCTGTGGAAAACAGTTTGGAAGTTCATCAAACACACAGAATTACCAGATGACCCTGAAATTCCTAAGTATATGCCCAAGAGGGCTGTAAACAAATGTTTACACAAGAAAACACATATGGGAATGTGCATAGCATTGTTATTCATAATAGCAAAAAAATGAAAACCCGAATGTCCTTCAGCTAGTGAATTAACAATATGTGGTATATCCATTCAATGAAATATTTTTAGCAACAAAAGGAATGAAGTACTATTACATGCTACATTATAAATGGGCTTTTAAAACATTTAAAATTAAGTCAGACACAAAAATCACCTGTGTGATTCCATTTATATGAAATATATAGAACAGGCAAATTAAGAGACACAGATAGAAGATTAGCAGTTATCAGAGGAAGAAGATGCAAGAGAATCAGAATTGACTGCTAGGTACTATAGAGGTTTTCTTTTGAGGTGTCAGAAACATTCTGGAATTAGTAGTTATTTTTGCATAAACTAGATATACTGAAAAACCATTGAACTGTATAATTTAAAATAGTAAACATTATGTTAATTATATGTTAATAAAATAGAAAGTCAACATACTCATAATGAAGGAAAGGGCAGAAAAGTCTGTTCTACCAGCTCTCAAAGCATATTTTATAGCTATATTGTATAAGACAGCACAATGTAGACAAATTGTTCAATGAAACACACAAAAGTGTAGAAACAACCAAGCATATATGGGTACTGAATTCATGACTAAAATTACAGAACAGTTTGAAATATCATATTTTCAATAAATTTTGCCTGGCCAGTTTGGAAAAATGATGACACTTGACCCTAACTCAGAACATAAATTTCAGGTAGATTTTTGGACTAGATGTGAAAGTCAAATCATAACATAAAAAGATTTTTAGAAATAGAGAAATGTATATATAATTATTTTGTGTAATAAACAGAACACAGAAAGTTGATTTGATATGACTGCATTAAAATTAACAATAGGTGTTCAACATAAGATACAGTGAGTAAAAGAGGAACCCATGGAGTAGGTAACAGATTTTCACAATATATAACCAACAAAAGACTCACGTCTAGAATACACAGAGCACTTATGGATTGGTGAGGGAAGACCACCCATATAAATGGGTAAAGATAATTTAAAAAGAAACTTCTCATGTGAATATACATGTATATGACTAATAAACCTATGAAAATGCACTAAAACTTGTAATGAGAAAAGATAAATGAAGAGTACAGAGATAGTCCACTAAATAATAAACTAATGGCTAAAATTAAGCAGAAAAGAAATATTTTCTGGAAAACATATAACAGCGGAAATTCTCATAACACTATTTAAATTATTTGCTAAAGTAGAATATAAGTATATTTTCTAACCTAGTAATCTCATTCCTAGGAAAGGATGCTCACGGTATGGTAATTCATAATAACACCAAAGTGTAAACAATTCATATATCGGCCAATAATGGATTGAATATGTGAAGTGTAGTATATTTATACAATGGAATACTACAGAACAATGAAGACTACTGCAGTTTTGAGCAACAAGATGAAATAATTTCACGAATGAGATATTAAGGGAAAGAAACTAAATGAGATATGTAGTATATGATTCCAATTAGATAAAGTTCAAAACTTAGACAAGTCAAAAACATAGGCTGGACAAAAATATGGATACTATGACAATTACATATAACTAATAGTTTATCGAGATTACGGTGTATAAGGTATTCAATGACATGATATGTTGAAAGGGTTGTCCCTCCCTGGTAACACACAGTCAAATGCCTTGCAAAATTGTGATGAAGATGAGACATTAATACGCATGATTAAATTTCTCTGCACATGCATCTTTGTACATACATATATACTTACACAGTGTGACAGAACAAGCCACAGGCTTCTATGTGGTGGTTAACTTCAAGTTCCTTATCTGCGTAATAATTACATGAGCGTTGACTTTGTGATAATTCATTGAGCTGTATATATTTGTTTTTCTGCAAATCTTTTGTGGTTTATAACTCACCACAAAAAAAATAAGAAAATAAAAGAATCAGATTATTTTCTAAGGTCATTAATAGAGCTAAGATCCGTGGACAAAGGCTTGTAAGAGATCATTTACTTTACCCCTTTGAAGCCAGGCTAGAGAACTCAGTGAGCTCTCTAACAACATGACAAGATCCATTACTCGCTCTTCAAAAGTGGACCATTGATCTTCTCAAATGATTTTATGCCCTAGAGAAGCAATATTAATAGCTTCCTTCTGGGCAATTTGTTACCAATTAGTGGTCCAGCATTATGGAGCTTATTCTGGCCCAACAGAAATAAACTAATTTAAATTTTATGACAATAAGATGCAGACACATATTCATATGAACATATAAAACCATACCCAATAGTGTCAACTTCTTTTCACACTTAACTGTGTTCCCCATTCTCTTTCAAAGAAAGACATGTGTTTTACACTCATAAAATATGTAATTTCAAACTCGATTCCCAAGGTAAAAGGAAAAGGCTACCATCAAATGTTTAAAGAATAATCTCCTTTATTTTATAATAATAACGGTTAGAAGTTCAATATTTCTGCTCAAACACAGAAGCAGCCAGGCATATTTGCAAAGGCGTCACAATGTTTGCCGTTGCCTTTACGCAAGACAACATTTATAAAACCTTTGCATCCCATGGCAGGTGCTGGGTCTCCTCTTGGGAATTTGTGCTGCTCACATACTGCCTTTCATTTGAACTTCAAACACCTTTAAAAAATAGAGGCTGCATTTTAATATCATTTAAAAATTAAAAACCTTTTATTTTTGTCATTATAATATCTTTCATGGCTTTTCAAAAATAAATCAAAGCCAAAACTAATTACTGTGATAGCAGAAACCTGAAAAATGGGAGAAGTTTTTTAAAATGAAACTTTGGTCTGCTTCTCCTGTAAATACGTTAAATGTATATACTAAATATTAGAGAATTTCAAGTGTATTTAATAATATTCTCCCTTCTTTGAGAACTTAGAGAATTAACCAAATTATGATAGTCACCTGAATAAATGGAAAACATATTTCTGGAGCTAGAATGTGTACAAGACTATATTCTGCAGTCCATCAAGTTGGGCTTTTACAGTCTTATTTATTTAACCTTATATTGTGCCATTAAAACAAAAAAATTAAATAATAGTGTAATTTAGCCAAAAGGCTAAATTATCTTTTTTGTTTGTTTTAATGGCACAATATAAGGTTAAATAAATACTTTAAGTGAAAAACACATTTTCGTCTACAGAAATTATGTCCTAAAGTATTTATTCAGTCTGCAATACTTGTAAATAGAATAATGTAGAATTATAATATTTTATTGTCCACTTTTCTAAAACATGTTCTTTTCTGTCTTTTCTGTTTTGCTTTTTATCAGGCTTGGATTCCTGGATCATCTGGCAACTTCAAAAATCTGGTGAGACACTTTTTTTTTCTGTGGGGCTGTCAGACCTCTCATATTTTTATTTCTCTGTCACTATTCTTTGGGGTATGTTTTATTTCTGTGTGAGGCTTAATCCTTTAAAAAAATTTCCTCCTCATTTCCATCTTCTGAGTTTGAATCTCATTAGGCCAGTTAGAAAAGGCCAATTACATCTTAACCCATAACAGACAATCTGATAAGTCCAGGTGCTTCTTAAAGAATCAACTCCATGGGTCAGGAGAACATTCCAAACAGAGGGAGTATTTGTTTCTTAAGGAAACTAAAATTACCACCGAAAGAGTTTGTGATAGAAAAGAGGATTATTCGGGTAAAATGTGGAAAGCATCAGTCTGAAAAATTTTCTTTAAAAATAGATCAAATGCAAAAGCAAGATAAAAACCAAGGATGAGCTGATAAAAAAGTTGGGTGTTTAAAAGCTTTTTAGTAGTACATTGCTGGTAGTATGTTTTACATATTATAAAGCTAGAAACACCGTGAAGGCATTGATCTTTTCCACATGGAAACTTACAATTTTTACAGCATTTTTCTGGGACTGATTATAGGCATGATAAAGCTGTATTGGTTGAGATAGGAGGTTTTCTGTGAAGCTGTGTATTTTTCCAAACAGCATCTTCATATGCATGTTTGAATCCACCCAGTCTTCATTTCTTCAAATATTACTGAAATATTGCTCACTTTCAAATTCATACGTTGTGATCCTATGTTCTAAGTGTATACAAGGTTATAAAACACATTTTATCTTATTTAATACTATGAAGAAATCTGTAGCTTAGATACCTGTGTAGACTGGATGTCCCAACTTTCCTGACGCGGTGACACTTTCTATAATACTGAGCCGAGAATGAGAATCCATCTTGATGGACTGGAGGAATACAGTCTTGTACTCGATTATTTAGTAATAACTGGGTATTGCTGGATTGGAGTGGGAAAGTAGTGAAAGTCCAGTATCTCCTTGCTGTTTTTCAGTATCTTTCTAAAACCAAATGCTTTCAGGATTTCTCAATGAATATCTTATAATCATTTCATTTCCATGCTGGTTTCGTTCTTCACGTTCACACTTCCCACCAAACAGCACCGAATTTGATAGTAAACTGTCATGTTGAGCAATGTTACTTAAGGCTTGAAGTTAAACAGAATTACTACGCACAAACAGAAAGCTTAAAGTTGTATATCAGATCTCATCACTATGAAAGCCCCGAACGATGCCTTTCCCATAGAGATTTGTACTTTGTCTCTCTCCAGTTTCAGTGTACCATGTAACATTGGGGTCTGCATCCCACCTAGAAGACTACACTTTGACATATTTCTCCCTGTCATGTTTCTTATGCTTGAGTCCTACAAGGTTTGTAAAGAATACATTGACATTAAAATATTCTGCTGCTACTTTGAACAGCCAAAGGTGCAAGCTTCTGCTTATTGTGAGACTAGTTTAGCCCTTCACTGTACAGGGCTAGGCTTGAGTAGAATTGTGCATTACCTTTGGAGAGAGGTGAATAGACATTTGTACCAGAGAAATAAATACCTATTCACAATGATGAATTCAGTCCTCCACGTTTAACCACAATTAGGAACAAATGAAACTTGAAATTGTGTTTTTTCTTAGTAGTTTTCTTTGAGGCAAGTTGTCACTGCATTGCCCAGGCTAGCCTCCTGAGTTCAAGCAAACCTCCCACCTCCGCCTCCTGAATCACCAAGACAAAAGAGGCACACCACTGTTCCTGACTGGCTTAATGATTTTTAAAAGTTTTCATCAAAGTATAGCTAACAATACCTGCCTCAAAATGAGGATGAGGGTTAGCCTCCCATCTCCCTCAGTACTTTCTGCAAATGGAAAACTTTGCTTAAGCATCTATTGAAGAACTGGGGTCTTTCACGTAGCAGAAATTTTGCCTTCCCATTTCCATCAAAACAAATCCTTGAGGTCCTGTATACTTTTTCCATCCTAAAGCTTTTCTTAGTTGCAAAAGTTGAATCTGGATCCTTCTGTAATTGTCCTTTTGGCTAAATTCCACTGTTTTTTTATTTAAATTGTCAGTATGAATTTCCAATTCTGGATGGCCAAAATGATCTTTTGGGTGGTCTTTTATCTTCTAATATACCTTGTTTCAAATCTATTCTTAATATACTGCCAGGTGACAGATTCTAAAAACAATACTTATTCTCCTGTTTGTTGTTTTTCATTATAACCAGTCTGGGAAACTTTACGAGCTTTTCTACCCCAGTTTGATATACAAGTAATACAGTTAAGTATTGCCACACTTACCCAAAGGCAGTCTTTCTTCAATATATACCAGAAACCTCAAAGCTAATAAGGTGTTTCTGTTTTCTCCTCTCACAAGCCCCACCATCACTATTTCTGCTCCTGTGAACAGCATGATCAGTGTATTTGCCCATATCCCCATTTCCTATTCATTCCTCAAGGCCAAATTCAGGCCCCACTCTCTCCTGGAAGTCTTCTTTTTTTGTAAATATATGTAGTTTGATTCCCCATCTTCTTGAACTCTTTATTTTTAGGCCACAAAGTATAGCACTTTACCTTACACTGTCATGTGTGCTGAGGTTCTTATGTTGTGTGTGTATTTTCTACTCAGCAATTCTGTAAGTTTGTTAAATGAGGAAATGATGTCATCTTGTTCTATTGACTGCGGCATACTTAAAGCATTGCTCTATGTTGAGTAATTCCTCAATATTTTCAATTAACTAATTTTATTTAAGATTTCATCTTTGCTTAAAAATAATCTTAGATTTTCATTTCTATAATTATTTACTTCAAATTATTATTTTCAAAGAAAACAATGCTGTGAACATGAAGGATGATTAGTAATATCTGAAAAACATTCTGAATTATTATGATACTCTCTACAAAACTGAGTGCCATTTGAGAGAAAAGAAAGTAAATGTAAAATTCAAACCAGAGTAGTATTGAAATACAAATGTTAATATGCAAACTTAGATTCCAAATTAAATTCATTAAAATATACTCCATTAAGTTATAACTCTGAAGCTTAAAAAAATTTAATCTGGAACTAAATACTGAAGTAAAAATTTATTTCAAAATAAAGAACTGACATGTCCCACATAGATGGTAAAATATTTACAGAAAATATTACTGCAGCATTTTTTCACTTACATAAGGTAATGTATTTACTGTTAACGAATCACTGAATTTTGTATCTGTGTGTGTAATTGCGGCAATTTGTTCCAATTCATATATTTTATTTTCTGCACCTGGATTTTGGTCCTTATAAGAGGTCAAAATAATAACATACGCGCAATTATGTACACTCAGAGAATTTAAATTTTCAAGCTTTCACTGTTTGTCAGGTGTAATGCTAGGTGCTTTACGTATTCTTGTTTCATGCTTCCAGTCTCACTTTGTGTAGGACATTTTGATATCGTATTAGAGAATAGACTAATGGTCAGAGACGTTAACTGGTTCGTTTACAGTCTCGTAGTTAATGAATCAAGATGCTAAGATTTCAGTCTATCCTTTGGACTCCAAAGACTATACTGAGATGCCATTACCCTAGTAAGTTTTTAATAAAACCCAATTCTGCATATATTTGAGTAACAACCCTGATCTGGAGCCCTTAAGAAAGTTTGTATATTGGTGGTTAAAATGAGATTTTATCTTTTATACTTTTATATTTATTTGAGAAAATTTCAGAGATGCTTACTTTAAATTGAAGGGAAAGTAAATTGTCACAGCCGATGCCCAAATTTTGGATATATGTATACATATCTTTTATATTTTTTATATACGTAAAACTGTTTCATTAATAAGTGAAGTAAAATCTATAGAAACCCACTTAATCCTTCTGCAGTTACACAATGATGATTAATGACTATTTCATTTTCTCATTGGTGTTCTCAGTTTTCTCATGCAAGTTTGGCCATCTTAAATTTTTTCTTAACATTATTACAGGTAACTTGCAAATTAAATTCTTGTGCTTAGCATTAGGCATATGATCTCTTTCAAACAGTACAAATTAATTCAAATGTAGTATTATATTTTCCAAGAATTGAATGCTATCTCCATCTAGAGAGTTTAAAAAGTATATTTCTTTAATATACACCAAAATATTCTGATGTTTTCAAGTACTCTCCCCTCAAAAATTAAATGTTTTGTGTTAAAATTTATGTTTTTCAAGACTGTTACATTATGTTTTTAAATTCTAGAGAACAAACCATACATATATACCAACCTCACAATTTTGAGTTGTTAAGTATATAATACATGAAAATGTTTTGCATATTTTAAAGTTACATACAGTTACTAAAATTGTTACTGCTGCTACTCTGCTATCCTGATGTAAATTGTTGTGGTATGAACATAAATCACGTATTCACTAACCAAAGGAAGGAATCATACTCTCATGAATTTATTAATAGGTTCATTCTCTAACTTTTATTTATTTATTTTTTTGCAAACCATCTGATAGGGATTGGGTAGTAAAAAAAGGATGTGGCATGACCCTGATTTCAAGGACCTTCATTTTTTGTTTCTGGTATAACTAGATGCTTTTATTTATTATTTTTAAAAATTTTTCTTTAAAAATATAAGCATTTGCTTTAAGCCTTTTATTAGTTTCCTTTAGCTTGCTTGGATAGGTGGTTATTAGAAATCATAAGGATGGTATGAGAGATACTATTAGTGTGCATCAGTATCTGGGTTTCTTTCTTTAATGAGCATATAGGAGATCATATATTCCCTCTACCTTCTGGCCAAGGGAAAATGGAAGTGAAGTATGTCAGTTCTGTGCAGAGGAGGTAAAAAGCTCCTATATGCATTTTCAGTCTCTCTCTTCCCCTTCAGAGGAGTCTGTATGGGAGGCATACGTTTGAAACACTAGAGCCACGAGATTGAATTGTGTTGATCCCGGAGTCACCTGATGGAATACTGCTGCAGTCGAGATTCTCCCAGTTTCACAGTTAACTTACTGAACAAGAGATGAATTTTGTTTTCTTAAGCC